GCCCGCCGGCCTCGCACCTCCTGCTTTGCCCCGCTCAGGCTGTAATTTAACAACTCTGCCTGCTCTCTCCTTGCGTGAATTCGCGTTTTCAGTTCTCTTTAAATGACCACTAGAAAATGTTTATATGGAAAGAGTTTCCTCCGTATCTGCATTCCTGGATCATGCTCATTTCAAAATATTGCAGTGCTAATTATTGAAATGCAAGGTGTTTTTTTTTTCCATTCTTTGTTTCAGATCCACAGAATGGGCTTGCTATCTAGCTTATTTACATATTTTTCTTTATTTTCTAAACTTTCTACTGCTCTAGGTTTTGTAAAGTGTGTTCTTTTTAATTATCAAGGGCACCCCTTTCCTGTTTACAGCTTTGAGATGAACTCTTGCTTATATATACATCAGTGAATTCACCACTGCTTGAGATGGCACCAGTAGATTGTGTAACTGCCCCCTTCCAAAACATATTTGGACTTTAATAATGGAGGAGAATACAGGTCTTCTGTCAAGTAATTTCTGTGCAGGCTTTCATGCGCTTGCAATTAAATCAAATAAAGCTCTTTTCCTTCCTAAATATCTGCTGTTGTATTACAAGGTGTGTTTCCTATTGAAGAAAAAGATACGCTAGAACTCCTTGCTGGGGAGCTTTGAGATCTTTCTCATTGGAAGGAGTCCAGTAATGCAGTCCTTGCTGACTCCAGTTTACCTGTTCAGCGCTGCATGACCAAACTTTTTCTGCCTTACTAGCTTTACCTATCGAATACACCTGACCATCTTTTTAATATATTTTAACAGCTGCATGAAACTTATTCCTGTGTGATTGCATTTGTGACTCTGACATACAATTAAACTAGCAGATTATCTTAAACCATTTATCGTTTGTTACATCGTTTGCCTGCCTTCTTTTAACTCTGGGCTTTGTGCCTCTTGTTCTCAGGGCTGCGGTTTCTGAGGCTGTGCAGCAGTGCCGGGCAGGCTGCAGGGCCAAGGAGCTGTGGGGCAGCCACCCGCTTTGCGCTCGGCGTCACCGTCCGGTGGCGGCTGGGGAAGCGGCGCCCAGCTGGGCACCATGAGCTCCGGCACCACTGCCCCGCTGAAGGTCGTCAGCAACCTTGCCAACACTGATGTCAACTATGTCATCAAAGAGCATTATAATTACACGGGAAAGCTAAATGAGAATGCGGACAGTGGAATAAAAGTGACATCGGTGGTTTTTATCATCATTTGCTGCTTTATAATCTTAGAGAACATTTTTGTCTTGCTCACCATCTGGAAAACCAAGAAGTTTCACAGACCTATGTACTATTTCATTGGAAACTTGGCTCTTTCAGACTTGCTGGCTGGAGTGGCTTACACTGCCAACCTCCTGCTATCCGGACACAAAACCTATAGCCTCACCCCCTCCCAGTGGTTTGTAAGAGAAGGCAGTATGTTTGTTGCCTTGTCAGCTTCTGTGTTCAGCTTGTTGGCCATCGCCATCGAGAGATACATCACCATGTTGAAGATGAAACTCCACAATGGCAGCAATAGCTTCCGCTCCTTCTTGCTGATCAGCGCTTGCTGGGTTATCTCCATGATACTCGGAGGACTCCCCATCATGGGCTGGAACTGCATCAGCCTCTTGTCCAACTGCTCCACAGTGCTGCCTCTCTACCACAAGCACTATATTCTCTTTTGCACCACCGTTTTCACTGGCCTTTTGCTATCTATCGTCGTCCTCTATTGCAGGATCTACTCCATGGTGAGGACTAGGAGCCGCAGGCTGACATTTCGGAAAAACATTACCAAAGCTACTAGGAGCTCAGAAAAGTCGCTAGCCTTGCTCAAGACAGTGATCATAGTCCTGAGTGCCTTCATTGTCTGCTGGGCTCCCTTGTTCATCCTGCTTTTACTGGATGTGGGGTGTAAAGTGAAGACCTGCTCAATCCTCTATAAAGCAGAATATTTCTTAGTACTGGCCGTGCTTAATTCGGCCACAAACCCTATCATCTACACCTTGACAAACAAAGAGATGCGGAGGGCTTTCATCAAGATTCTGTGCTGTTGCAAATGCCCCCCAGCAGATTCTGGGACCAAATTCAAGAGGCCAATCATCGGAGGGATGGAGTTCAGCCGGAGTAAGTCTGACAACTCCTCCCACCCACAGAAGGAGGAAGGTGACCGTCCTGAAACGGTCATGTCTTCGGGCAATGTTACCTCATCTTCTTAGGAGTAACCATGGGGGTGTATTTCAGAGCCTTCCTCTGAAACCGGGGAGCTGAGACGCCTCCTGCTCACGGCGGCAGCGCTGGGCTAAGTGAGCGAGTAGCATTAGTTCTAATGAGACAAACGGTGCACTTGCGAGGCTGGAGTTCAAGAAATGGGACAGACTGTTCTGGCTTGAAAATCTTTTTCCCTGGAGCATGTTTTGTCTTTGCACTGAGGCAGCTCAGGATTGTCAGGCGTATTCATATCCTGAAATCTCCTTAGTAACTCTGAAAGACTGATGCCTTGGTGAAATTATGCCTGGTGTGTGTGAGAGAAAGAGAGAGGGGGAGGAGAGAGAGGGAGAATGAATCCTTTTTTTCCCTGTGAGAAGAATGTGAAGTTATTTCTCCTTTACTTGCAGGAAACCACTGACACAAAGATCTTTCTGTACTGAGTTTAGTGGTGGTATAGTTGGTCAGAAGCGTTTGTTTAGCGCATAACAAGGAAAGAGATCACACAAATATAACTTAGACCACCTACAACCATAATTTGGCATCACTTTACAGAGTTTTTAGTTAAGTCGTAAGATTTTATTTGTGGAGTCCAAAACTGTTGGGGTTTTATTTAGCAAGATCATAGCTGTGAATTTTTGCTGTCAGTCCATATTACATTTGAAGACCCTGAGCCAGACTCTGCAGTTACTTTCACCTGTACAATTCCATTGACTGCATCAGATTTTACGGAGTAGCTCAGAACAGCGTGTGGCCCCATACGTTGATTGCCTTGTTATTCTACAGCATTAAATAAACTGCATTATCATGACAAATGCAAGGTAGAACTAAAGGTCATTTCTCTTTAAAATGACTGAAGGTATATCTAATAGTATAAGATACTATTGACAACAGCAGGATTTTTGCCTAAGTAAGAAGAGTAGAAAACTGAAGGGGCGTTTCAGTGTCAGGTTCATAGTCTGTCCAAAGGTGAAGATAAGTCAGAAAATCTGAAAGTAGTATCTTCGGTTTCAGAAAAATAAAAAGAAAGTTGAAGTGAAATTGCTATAGATAAATGCACTTCCATAACGAAATGCAATACATTTTGGCACATTTTATTAATGTCTATAATTTCAGCAAAGATGTCTGTATTAGTTCATGGAAGAAGTACCTGTCATTAAATTGAATGTATTTGTTTTACAGCATCATTTTTACTTCTCTGTTTTTCTAACCTGTGCTAATGGGGTTGAATGTGTACAATGTAAATAAGTTAATAAGATGCAGGAGTCTTCATGCACCTAGAATATTACTATAACAAAAGTGGTATATCTGGGATAGCTGAGAGAGACTGACTGATTTACAGTTATTGGCAATTCCTAGAAGTGGTATTTTGTAAAGAAAATTTATTGCCTTTGTAGTAAAATTTCCAGTGCAATTAAACTGATTTTTTTTTTTTCTGGTTTAAAAAATAGTATTTAAAATGTTTCTGACTTCTATTGTTCAATTTGCACATAGCTTTATTGACTTCTAAACATTAATAAACTGATTTTTTTAAAGATTCTGTTATCAGATTAGTAGTAGTTTTGTACTATTGTGGGAGTGTGGTTGACTATGTCAGGTGTGGTTTCTTGTTGACAGAAGTCAATGAAAGGATCCCTTGACCTGCTGGGATTAAGCCAATTCTGCGGGGACATAAGATGCATGATGCCACTTACAAGATCATGTAAAATACAAAACGAATGCTAGAATATAATTGCTCATCAGCACATGCTGTAATAATGAAATGCCATTAAAACAATCTCTACAGTAGCGATTTTTCTCCAACAGCTAAGGCGGTACAAACAAGAAAAACAGATGGCTGCCAGTTTTTCCATGACTGCCTAGAGTAGGATAAGTGAAAGACTTCACTTAAATCACTAATATAATTTGTAAGTTTAGATCTTTGTTCTAATTACGAGCATCAAGGAAGTTCACAAAACATAGAAGGGTGGCCTCAGCTACGTAAGCGCTGCAGCTTCATTGGGTTCACCAGTGAAGACTGTGGCAGCATAGTTGAACAGATACTGCGTTTCTTCTTCCAAAGGCTTGACTTCCATTTCCTCTCTTGCTGCCATTCCCTCTCGGTATTACTTTTAAGTTCCATGGAGCTCACACAGGATACAGTTGGAGTGTGAAGATAAACCTCACCTTCTCGTACTGTATGTCATTGCCGTGCAAGGTTTACTGTGGGAAACGAGAGCCTACTCACTGAGGAAGGCTCTGGGTCATAACCTCACTTCCTGAAGGAAATTCCAAAAATGCCCCGAAGACAAAAGAGTGGAAACAGGCTGGAATTTCTCTCCATCTGTCTGCCTGTACGGAAGGAATGATTTCATGTGTGCTCACTTCCTAGGCTTTTAATTAGTGTCCTGAGCAAGGCTGGAAAAAAATGTCAAATGTGGATTTGCTTACAAGATAAAGTCTCTCTTGGCTCAGGCATTTGTTTGGGCAGGGATGGTTTATGCCAGTCATGAGGGAAAGTGCTGCTTTGTCCTAGGGATAAAGTCACTTCTGTGCAGAGCACCAGAAGTATATAAATCATGAAAGTCCCAGTTAAGCCCTCAACGTGCTACCAGTGAGTAAATAAAGGCAATGTATGAGGACAAGGCAATGTACGGGGACGTCTGAATTTGTAGGGGGGTGGGTTATCCAAAGGACAAGGGCCCTTCCGCTCTTGAAGCCTTGTGGGCAGTAAGGTTGTTCGTCCCACATAGGTTTGAGCTCTTGTGACAAGGGGAGAGCTATGTCACATCATGTCTGTGTCACTGGCCCCTCATGACTCCCACCAGCCTTTCTGTATTCCTAGCTGATAGCTGACAGGTGAGTCACTTCCCTTCGTTTTGCGTGTGTTTCTCTATCCCTCCCTTATCTATCTCGTCTAATTGCACTGTGGGCCTTTGCGGAAACTGACTGTTTCCCCTATGGAGGTAACTGGGTGATGGGAGCCCAGTTTTGGTAGGGAACTCAAAGCCCTACGTAATTCACGCAATAAAAGAAGCACAAACATCAGAGTGTGGCACTGGGCCATGGGAAGCATTTCCTATATCTTGATCACGATGACTGAAATCTGTTTCCTCCATAAGCAGGTCACATCTATGCATGTAGACAAGATACAGACAGGGAACAAAAACTGTAATAAAACAATAACAGTGATAAAAGTAAAGGTTCCTGCTGGGAAAAAAAATAAAAGACTGGCCATTTGTACTGCTCTTCACTTCCTATGGGGGAACTCCACAGCTCCTTGGCCACGGACATGCATTACCATACACAAGCAGGTTAGGCCAGATGTGTAGTGCAGTTTTGAAGTGTGCAATGTAGAAAGCACCCTTCCCAGGCCCCGGACTGCCTTCTGGATGCACCAAAAGGGCATGAAGCTTTGTTCCGTTGTTGGCCATGTGACAAATAGGCAGAGAAAACAAACTGAGAACTGAAAAGGTGCATTATACCAAATGTCCACGTGAAATAAAATAGCCTCAATTATCTGGAGTAACTTGGCCCTTTGATTTATATTCTTCTTCCTAGCTGTTCTTCCAGTGTAAGGAATAGAATAGGGATGGAAAATCTGTCTGGTGTTCCCCTGGCAACTCCCTGACTAGGTGTGCCTGTGTGAGACCCAGGTGTAGCAGGGTGTATGTTGGGAAATGCAGGGGATGCAGCCAGAATGCCCTGAAGACAGCTCCGCAGGAACAAACGTTGGGCTCGCTGTAGAGTGTAGGCAGCCAGGACCTAAACTACAGGAAATGAAAGTGTAAAAATGCTGCTATCCATCCTTTACTTACTCTGTCAACTAAGAAATATAAGGATTGCCCAACTGCAATGTTTCCTAATTCCTAATTTGGCCTGGAAGATCTCAATACTGATTGCATTTTGTACGGGCTGAGGCATTATCAGATGTCGTAAAAAGGGTCAGACTGACAAAGCATCCAAAAACATGGATATGTAGACCAGAGCTATGTAACCTACTCAGCTCTGAAATGCTGGAAATTCCCCAAGGACAAGCTTCGTCATTTATGGAGTTCTAAAATTCCCCAGGAAAACATTTATTGTATTTCAATAATTCTTCATACTGATTTTCTTGGAAAACAAAATGAATCCAACTACAACCGAACCTTCAAGGATTTAAGACACAAAAAAACGCAGTCAAACAAAATCCATCTAAATTCAGTTCCTATAATCTGCTTTCACAAACTTTTCTAATCCCGTTTTTGCATTTACAGATGGAAAGAGTTTGCTCATTCTCTATCATCTAATTCATTCTGATAGAGCCTTATTTCTTTTTATACAGTCTGCAACAATCACATCAGGTCAAGAAATCTCCCTTCAATTATTACCCTATGCACAGGATTTCCTATGATAATTAACAGTAATCAAATTCACTCTGCCCACAGGAGCCAGATATAAGAACATGTGGCACAGCTACCTTGTTCCAGTACAAGTTTTCTGCTGAAGTATAAAGTGCCTAGAGACATCTGAAACTCAAGCATCTAATACAAATTTAGATATTAACAAAAAAAAATGTTGTCCTTTTTTAAGTTGAGGCGTAATTAGTGTATACTTATGTGATCCACTGGAGAGAATTACAATGTTAAGGACCCTCTTCCCTGCAGGAACAGGGTGTCCCTCTGCTCATTCACAAAGTCTGACTGACGTTGTGTCAAAGTAGCAGTTTCCGAACAATTTCCCCCCCTCAAGCAAAGCTCTGCACACGCAGATCTCTCACCCTACTAAAAAGTCTTACATGAGAGTGAAGCAGGAACCATTTCCTTGCACTGGGAACCCTCTGTGCTACCTTCATAGGACAAAAAGGCAGGAAATCCCATCAGCCACACCCAGGAACGCTCTGGCACGGAAAAGTCCTAATAAAGCAGAGCTGACAAAGCTCTGTCAACCCTCTGTGAACCTTCCACCAAGCCTGGTTTAATAGTCGCATGATAGAACCTGATACAAAGGCCAATATTTATTTTGAGCTTATGTGAATGATTGCTTGGAGAAGAACCATTTTTAAACACATGGTAACATAGCTATACATCAAAACGGCTCATCGGAAACACATGTGACCAAAGCCACATTAAATATTACCCTGTGTACATAGCATTTGTAGTGTTTATTCCAAATCACTTTTCTCAGCTAAAAGCAGACTAAAAATACAGACTGTATAATTTCTGATAGCTAATGAACATTTGGAAAACACGGGCTAGAGGGAAATCACTGAATAAGTACTGGGTTAAAGTGATCTGCTAGGCTCCATGAAATCCTCGGTGAAAGAAGTATCACCACCTGGGAAAAATCTGTGGTTTG